ATTCTGTATTCTCTATTTTCAGCGCTACTCTGTACGACAGGGGCTGAGATTTCAATAAACGACATCGTCTCCTGATTGCAGCCTTTCGAGACGTCCACATGCACTCGTTAAATGTGACATACAGACACTCACAGTGGTGCAGTACACATATAACCTACATAATATTACTTTGATGAAAGAATGGCGACGTTCACATAAGCATCACTGGTTATATTATGTAATGGGCCGTCGCCCGCTGAGTTTCTCGCCGGATCTTGTCAGTGGGTCGGGATTCCGATCCGGTGGTAGATTCTGCGAAGCACTGCTCTTGCTAGGGCTAGTGTTAGAAAATTCTCTCAAATTGAGCCCGTGAGCTCACCTACTCGTCTACGCGTAGCTGGAATAGTCGGTTAGGCTACCAGGGAATAGGAAGGAAAAAGGTGAGTCCTTACAGTTCAGTGTGCTAATCCTGCCTATTTTCTGTTGCAGGGCAGTTTGCTGGTTTGAAGGGCACAGTGTTTTTTTTTCTTTGTTGGCAGGCGAGTGTACGGCCGACCTGATGGTAAGTTCCCGTCGCCCATGGTCTTCAGCAATGCCAGGGGCAGAACCAAGCCTTTGTCTACCGTTAAATACTCTCCACAAGCCTAGTTTGAAGAAGGACAGGTCATAGTGCGCGGGAAACACCTTTGAGGGGAGCTCATTCCAAAGTTGCTGGTACGTGGCAAAAAATATCTCTGAAAACGCACTGTGGATGAACGCAGTGGCTCCAGGTCGTACAAATAAACTCTACTCCGGTGGCGGGCGGTGCTATGGTAAAAACGAGATGATGGAGTCATCTCAAACAACTCCTCATGGAACCTACGGTACAAAATACAGAGAGAAGGGAAGTCCCTCCGCAGATGCAGAGGTTCCAAACGATCCGTGAGAATGGGATTATCGATAATCCGGACGACCCTCTTCTGTTTGGAGTCAAATGGAAGTAGCTGGTATTCGGGAGCCCCAGCCCAAAGGTGGGAGCAGTTCTCCACGCGAGGCCGGACCTGTGCTTTATAAAGGCAAAGTCTTTGTCCAGGCGTGAAGTACCGCTTCGCTCTGTTGAGGACTCCCAGCATTTTGGGCGTAAACTTGGCTTTGCCCTCCAAATGACAATAATATACCAAATAATAGAGTTTTCAACCAATGACAAAAAATAATTTTAAGTAACAGTCAATGTGTATTACAATTTTTTTTATCGCACTTTGCGAATCGGCTTAATGTATGCTACTTTACGTCTCAAGAAACTTCTAAGCCCTAATATTGTCTGCTCTTTTTCGCCATATCAATCTATTTAAGGACTTTTTTATAATGACTTAAATAAAATCTAAATTTATAATTATGAACAGGAATATCCTCTATCCTGATATAATTTGAAATCGCGACCTAATGAGGCTTCACTTAAATCCTTTTAACGTTGCACCCAACAACTCGTGAAAGGGTAAGATTAATTACTGACATTTTTGCGCTATAAAGGGAAAAACTTATTTTCAAATATAAATTTCGTTGATAATGCCAAAATATGAGTGAAAAATGGGCTTTTAATAATTTTATATGATATATGACAAATTGAATTATGTACATGTCTTTTTATTTACTTGTTGAACTAGTTAAATCCAACTAATAGTTTTAATTGTAAGGTAAAGTTTATGCAATTGGTCTTGCGTGTTACAATGTAGTACTTTAAATAAATAGTAATTGTTTATAACAAAAGCGTCCATACTGTATGGCAAATGGGTTCTGGTGCGGGATCTTGATATTATAATAATCTATAATATATTTTTAACTATCTGACCCGGCAGACTTCATAGTGCCTCAATCGATAAATAAAAGACCTAAACTTTTGTATAAAATAAACATAAAACAAACAAAAGGAATCCGTCCGACGGGGTACACATCAAAGGGAAAACAAAATTGTAATTTTTATTTAATTCCGAACATTTTCATGTTTTAAACCTTTTAAACCTTCTCTGGACTTCCACAAATAATTCAAGACCAAAATTAGCCCAATCGGTCCAGCCGTTCTCGAGTTTTAGCCAGACTAACGAACAGCAATTCATTTTTATATATATAGATAGATGTTCGTTAACTCCCTAGAACAAAAATATCCCTCTCGCTTGTGCAAATCTCGGAGGCCATGCTCCCATTGCTCATTTACGGGTCAAATATAAAATAATCGGTCTAACTTTTGTTAAGTCCTCAACGAAGTCCTTAGACATCACAAACTAAATTCCGTCATCTTATTTGTGACATTAAGTTGAAGTCTCAATTTTATCATATAGATCGTTACACTCTCCATACAAGAACGTATGACGGCTTCACGTTTGGCCAGAAATAAGGTGTTTATCTATCCGGTGTCACGATACAAGGTATTGTAATAGTAATTACATATATTTATTTATAAATTTATCAACGCAAACAGCCAACGTGCAAAAGAAGCGTCACGGGAAAACAGAGTTTAATCAACATCATCATCATCATCATCATCATCATTTCAGCCTATCGCCGTCCACTGCTGAACATAGGCCTCTCCAATAGATTTCCAGTGCGACCGGTCCATTGCCACCTGCATCCAACGAGACCCAGCGCTTTTTATTAGGTCGTCGGTCCATCTAGTAGGTGGCCGTCCCACACTGCGCTTGCCAGTACGTGGTCGCCACTCCAGGATCTTTCTGCCCCATCGACCGTCCTCTCTTCGTGCTATGTGGCCGGCCCATTGCCACTTCAGTTCACTAATTCTACGGGCTATGTCAGCAACCTTCGTTCTTCTACGGATCTCCTCATTTCGGATTCGATTACGTAGAGAAATGCCGAGCATAGCCCTCTCCATAGCTCGCTGCGCGACTTTGAGCCTTCTAAAAAGATCCCTAGTGAAGCACCACGTCTCCGAGCCGTAAGTCATCACTGGTAACACACATCAGAGAGATCAACATCAGAGAGAACAAAATATAGTCAGTACCAAATTGCCATGAAGGAACCCTATTGTCACACAAAAATATAGCTATTTTATTTACTGTAAATGCAAAACAATATCCTGAGTAGACGAACACTCGTTCCTTCCATTTATTACCGTTTCTTTCAACGCTAATAAAGTCTCGATTTCAAATTTATATTAAAATTCAAAGGGAGAGAACTCCCGAATGAAGATTTTCATAGGATGCATTAAAATCTGTTCTTACTGCTTCGTTTTCATGTATGGTACAAGTTATAGCATGACGTGAATGGATGTTAAACATTAAAATTTGCTTATTAGTACCAGACCTAAATATTAAATATGTGCCAAAATCATTTTAAACACAATAGCCCCCTCAGAATTAAATAGAATATTTTTTTTACAATTTTAATACGTGGCGTCCTAGTTCACGAACCAATAATATTTAATTCGATGAACAGAGTTTGCAGAATATAAAAAGAACTTTTTTAATTACAAAGTTTTACATCTCGGATTTTCTTTACTCGGACCAAGCCCGCAGTCCGTTGGGATGGCAATAACAAGTCCATAAACCGTTTTTACTGCCTTTGTTCAAGCAAATGTATGTAGGTTTTGACTTTTTAAACAATGACCGTATTTTTGTATGGCCAAGAATATAATTCCTGAGATGTTTTTGAATGGACTTAGCGTTGAAAACAGTGATTCCGAAACCACGTTACGTCCATTCTTCGTACGTAATAAATATCCGTGTTAAGTTGAATCTGTCGTAACCGTGAATCAAGGAGTGGAGCACTAGGAAATTTTATTTTCTACTATTCGAGGGTAGGTATTCTTGGTACAATGCGATGCCAAAAAGGTGTTTATTATTACTTGCATATATTTTTTTAATATGTGCTTCGGTTTTCACCAAACTTCTTTTCCGAAGACTGTGAGGTGTTCGGAACGGCGGAAGTAATATAGTGACAACAAAAAAATGCTAAATGAAAAAGTAAAAGTATCGTTCGTTTGTTTGTTTCATCAGTTCTCTTGATAGTGGAGGTGAGGCGCATTTTCAATTTTTTTTTTATTTCTTAGATGGGTGGACGAGCTCACAGCCTACATGGTGTTAAGTGGTTACTGGAGCCCATAGACATCCACAACGTAAATGCGCTACCCACCTTGAGATATAAGTTCTAAGGTCTCAAGTATAGTTACAACGGCTGCCCCACCCTTCAAAATTGGTACCCGCCTGCGGGATTCGAACACCGGTGCATCGCTCAACACGAATGCATCGGACGTCTTATCCGTTAGGCCTCGACGACTACAAATATAATGATCCTACACCAGATATACTGCAATAAAGTCATGAGTTTGAACTAATTAACTTTTAGTTGCAAACCCATAGGCATAGCAGCGGATTTAAAGGCCTAGTCGCTTAATTTAGTTAAATTTCGAATCCAAATTTGTGTTGAAATTTACAAAATATTCATAAAAAAATGTGTGAAGTGAAATTTATTAACACTATCAGAATTATAATACACAGAAGGAGCTTAAACGTGGTTTCATTGTACTCGTAGAAGGCCGTCAAAAATTAGGTCATAATGTTTAGTGTATTTTGAATTGGATAATTCACGTCGGTTAAGACATAAACGCAATTTATCTCATCGCAACACGAAATTGAAACCCACGCGTATTCTTATAACTAAATTTTCATCAACTATCACAGAGTTTTACAAGTTTAGAACGGTTTGAATAATTACGCAATTTGGCAATTCAAAGCCTAATGCAACTCTTCCTACCCCATGCAAATCTATAAACATTTTAGTCACTTTACCTTCTCAACCAATTTAATTCATTAAATCTTTATCCATAAGATACATTTTCATTTTAAACACGCTATTGTCGTGAAAGGCAAAACTATATCACTAGTGAAAGAAAATGTTTAGACTAAAAAAATATTCAATCATCGGGTCAAAGTAATAAATTTAATGTCACCTCTATAAAGTAATGAGTCTTTATCCAAGCTGCAAAGCAAATGACCAACAAATGATTTAGTCATCTCAGACAACTCTACAAGATGTATCGTGGCATTCTAGTTTTCTTAACCATTTATCTGACTACTTCTGAAGCTGTTACCAACAGTACAAATTGTGGTTATTTTCAAGCCGACTTTGATTTGATATCTGCCTTAGGGACTTGGCATGTTGTAGCTATTATACCAGAGAAGTTATTTCCGGATAAAGATGTCACTTGTTATAAAATGGAAATCAGCGAAACTGATGAGGTAAGATTTAATTAATTACTAACTTATTACTTTCATTGGCGTAATAATTCAACTCGACCTTGGTCTTCTTGAGCAAGTTGCAAGTAAATGATGGAAATTAATATTGATCGCCAAGTTTGAGATTAATTCTGTCATCAAACAATTAATTAAATGATAAACATAATAATTTCAAATTTTACAGGCCGGTCTTCGATGGTTGATAAATAGAACCACACATGGACCTCAAAATAAGTCCATAATAGCAGATGTGAAAGGTACGATAGTGAGGCAGAGGTACCATACGGAACATGCCTTTGATGTTTGGTCTAAATCTACGGCTGGAATCCAAGGATGCTTTCAACAAGTCCTATCCTTGGATTTAGATAAAAACCGAATCCGTAAGTTAAGAATATAAATAATGAACATCAAACCTATTTCGATTGGTATTGAGAGAGATTCAATGTACAGTAGTGAATAAACATCATGATCACCAATCATCAATTTCGCTTTTCGACATTAATCATTTTCCATATCCAAAATATATGATATATCACGTCGAATATTTGAAGATGAAGTATTTTATTCATATTCAACTTGGGTGTTAATTGCCAGGAATGTTTGAGGGTAATTTGGTACAATCATTTTTGTTAAAAAATTAATGAATGTAGCGGTAGCATAATGATCTTACGTAGTACAATGTCACACAAATGAAACCAGAATAAATTGTAATGTAAGTTAATAAAGGCCAGTAATAGTTTGTGAATAAGATAATTTATATTTCTCTGGACAAGTTTTAAATAATATACTTATTGTTCACAGATAAAACCTTAGCTCATGATGCTATGATGCAGTTACACATAGTGGACTCCAAAGATGGTTCTAGTCCGTTTTTGATGCAAATGCTCTGGGGAAAACTGATATCTGTTGTCGTCTATCGAAGGAATCAGGTAACTAAATGTATACCGAATTTTGTATTTAGTTACAATTAGGTTATGCATTTTTTAAATTGATAATTTTTTTATTTTTGTTTCATTGTTTCTTGTCACGTTGTTCTTTTAATTCTTCGTTGGTCATTTATTTCCTATCTGGCATAGGTTTAGGGTGAGACTTTGTGCTCCTTAATAAAATATCTATTTATCGTCTTTTACACGATTTTTTTTCTATGCCTTTCCCACGTGCATGATGACTGTGACAGTTGGCAACTGAGAATAATCAACGAAATAGTTGCGATCATAATCTAATTACGTGAAACCTCAGAAAATACAGTACCCGAAAGAAAAAGACTATTTCATTCTTCAAACGGAAACATATCTATATTTTTGACTAATTAACCCAAGAAAGATCTGATTATGTGATTTTGCAAAAGCAAAATAAATATCCTCTGGTAATTTTTTTTAAATTTACTAATTTAGGAAGGGTTAAGATTAACGAAACTGTAGTTAAATGTCTAGGTTTTTTATTTACAGGGAATTACCGAAGAGCAGTTGAAACCAATCTTCGAATTGGCGACCAAAATCCGAGGACCCCAACGATTGCCGAAAATCTGCGATAATCCCTTGAAAGATATTTTGCTCCAATAGTATTAATAGCATTTTACTTTATTATTTCCGGATTTTTTAACATCACTAAATCAACTCGTCAGTAGTCGATTAGATGAATAAGCAGTTGAAAATAATAAAGCTTATTAGCCGACGGTTTTTTTTGATTAATTACGCATGTTCTAGTTAAGGTATGCACATAGGATAATGCAATGTGCCCCTTGGAGCCTTTGGTACTCACTGTTGGTTCAGGCTTCCCCTGTTTTATACCATAATGTTCGATTGCTTGCCATTCTTATCCACGACCATCCCGGTGTTCTGGCTATGTAGTCGGTCAACCATGCCGGTCTTCCGATACCTCTACGACCTAATCTAGGCCATTATTTATATATTTTTGATAAAACAGAAAATAGGAATAAGTCGAGGTAAATGATGTTTGTGAAATTACTTAAAAATATATATCATAATGGTTTATGGATGTATATTAAATATATGTATGTGTATAATAAAAAATCTTACATTTATTTTCGTTATCTGGTACCTGTAACACAAGTTATTTACGAACTTATCACGGGATCAGTTAACGTGGCTTAGAACCGCTGGGTCACGTTGGATGCAGGTGGCACCGGACCGGCCGCACTGGAGATCACTTGGAGAGGCCTATGTTCAGCAGTGGACAATGGACAGGCTGAGATGATGATGATGATGATGATGAGTTAACGTGGCGTGATTGTTAGTAAATATTTATTTGTTTAAATGAACCATAAGTCGATTCACTAATTTACGCCCAACTAAATCATCGCTCAATACATTCTAATATAAAATAACGAAGTCTCACGAGACGCTCTTGTTTAGAACTTAGTATTGATTTCCCGTATAAAGCACATTATTTAAAGAATACATTGTATCGGTTAAAACTATGAATCCAATTTACGTTACTTATGGGGACTAGCGATGGTCAGTTTATAACAAATTGTCTGTTCTCACGCCACCACTAACGCGATGCTATGCTCGTTCGAAACGCCAATAAAGCAAAAATAAAGGTAACCATTATCCTGATAAAGAATATTGGGACTGCGGCCAGAATCGTGAATCGTTTGAAAAGTTGAAAAGATAATTAGGTAATCTGACGAAGCATGTTGCGGATAATAACATGTACTTTTAGGTTAGGAATATTGTGTTCTTTTTTTTTATAATTAGGAAAAGTTTGCAGTTACTAGTGATGGTTCGGTTGAAAATGTGTTATGTTTGAAGAGTAGAGAGCTTGGAAAGGTGCTCAGAGATATGGCTGGTATAAGACCAGGAATTGTAGCAATTGACTTCGAGTTGAAATAAAACGTTGTAATCTGAGGAGTGGGTGAGTTCTGGCAGTGCGGTGATAAAGCCGGAAAGATTTTCAGCATGTACCACACTACATTTCGCTAGCCGTCTCAGTATTCTGTTCTGAAAGAAGTTTAAAACAGTATTTACTTTTTAGAAAAAAAATGTCATTCAACGAATTTATCCTTTTACGTTTTATTAAGTCTTTAACCTTTAAGCTTTTTTTAACCCAATGATTGAAACACCCAACACAAAATTAGCACTATACCATTATTTTTTTATTTAGAATAATTACAGAGTTAATCAGAATGTCGGGTAAATAATTTATAAGATATCCCGACATATTATATATTAAGTTATAATCACCAATCATCCAGCAGCTAATTGTCGCTAACCTTTATTTTAGATAGATCCTTTTATGGTTGAAATAAAAACCATTCAAACAAAAAACTGCCAAATGAAAACATAACATCAATAGATATTTTTTTTGACAAATAAGCAAAATATTCAAATATCGACGAATGGAGACCTCAGTCATCGGTGGCAACGAAAATACATATTCAAATATTCGAAATATCCAAAATAATTCCAAAATTAAGTCTTAAAGATAATTTAAATCAAGCACTAAATTCTGCAGACGCGGACTCAGAAGCCAACACCGCGGTAAGCTAATGATTAAAACGTCTTTAAATAGAAATGTCGTCGTGGCCTAAAGGATAAGACGTCCGTTGCATTTGTATCTAGCGATGCACCGGTGTTCGAATCCCATCAGGCGGGTACCAATTTTTCTAATGCAATACGTACTTAAGAAATGTTCACGATTGACTTCCACGGTGAAGGAATAACATCGTGTAATAAAAATCAAACCCGCAAAATTATAATTTACGTAATTACTGGTGGTAGGACCTCTTGTGAGTCCGGACGGGTAGGTACCACCGCCCTGCCTATTTCTGCCGTGATGCAGTAATGCGTTTCGGTTTGAAGGGTGGGGCAGCCGTTGTAACTATACTGAGATCTTAGAACTTATATCTCAAGGTGGGTGGCGGATTTACCTTGTAGATGTCTATGGGCTCCAGTAACGACTTAACATCAGGTGGGATGTGAGATCATCCACCCATCTAAGAAAAAATAAATAAATATGGGTACTCAATTCAGGATATTTCTTGGTGATTTAAAAAAGCATATGGTACTGATTATTTATATTACTAAATAATCATACTTGAATGACCTGTCTGATCTATCCTTAATCTACGTCACATGAGCTTTGTATGTAGTCAAATGTCGTGACGATGCCTTATTAACTGCTTTTCTTTATTGCTTAGCATTACCAAAGATATTATTTCAACCTTTATCATTATGGTTGAATTGTATTTATGCCCTGTGGTATTATAATTAGTGTATAAATTTGTTTGAGGAAACGTTTGGATGTTTTTAATAATTAAACTTGGGAAATAATGAAAAAATATGTGAAAATTATAGCAAGAGTCCGTTAAATTATTATGTGTGGAATTTAGATAGCTGCGAAAGTTAAAAACAATTCGTAACAAACTATCCTATAGTATATTTAAACTAGATTATTAAAACTTTTCTGGTGGTAAGACGTCTTGTGAGTCCGCACGGGTAGATACCAACACTCTGCCTATTTCTGCCGTGAAGCAGTACTGCGTCCGGGTTTGAAGGGTGGGGCAGCCGTTGTAACTATACTGTGATCTAAGAACTCATATCACAAGATAGGTGGCGGCACTTACGTTGTAGATGTGTTAGACTTCGGTAAACACTTAACACCAGGAGGGCCGTGAGCTCGTTCACCCATCTACATAATAATAAAAAAGAAAAAAGGTCCACGTGAGGCAACGAAAATAAGTTTTTATTCGTAATAATAACGAATTAATAGAAATGTGGCAGGACAATTGGGTAATTCTGCTGCATTACTTACTTATTATTACTTCGTAACTATCACTGAATCACGTAATTGTATTGAAACATACTTTTCTATATTGTAGAATTGACTATGGGTATTTGGAGTGTGGAGTAGAAACAGATTTATTTTATAGTCCATACCTCCTCACAGTGTACGTGAGCTGAATCAATTATCACTTTGAAAGAAGAAGATCTCAACATAGATAAAATTACATAAAACAATTTAACCACCAACTTATAAGTCAATATTATTCGAAAATTTCGATTTGTAATTATGGAATCTTGAAACATACAACGTGTTCATACAATCCATAGACACAGCCCACTGAGTTTCTCGCCGGATCTTCTCAGTGGATCTCGTTTCCGATCCGGTGGTAGATTCTGCGAAGCACTGCTCTTGCTGGAGCCAGTGTTAGCAACACTCCCGGTTTGACACCCGTGAGCTCACCTACACGTCAAGGAGAAACTGAAATAGCCTCTCAAGACTATCAGCATACGTAAGAAAAAAAATACAACTTTTCTTTTGATAAGACTTTAATATATAAAAAAGTATATATTGAATCAATTGAAGAAACAACTCGCGTATTTCTCAAGCCGGATGGCAAATAGTTAAAATTGCAAGAATGTTGATTTACTTTTAAAATCATTACCAATGCTGTGTTAAGTTTATTTATACGTCTTGGACGACTCGTGTCCCGTAGCCTAGGTGGGAATTAGTTTAAATCACAGCTCTGGTTGTGGTCAGTCGAATATGTAAATACACTTTCAGATTGAGCATCAGGTGTTCTGCTGTACGCCTCGGTGATTGATTTCCAGTCTGAACGAGTCAACGGACGAATGTATTCAATGAATGTTTATACAGGTTGATGTATTCGGATGATTAAAACAGAGAATTCTATTTGTTTTTTTGACAACCAGCGAGACAAATTAATAGAAGCAGTGGCATAAAAACTATTGAAGTACTAATATCATAATAATTTAAAACAATATGTTTTTTTTTACTTAAGTTCGAATAAGTTACAGTAAGGCTTTTTATATACCTTATTGATTATTTTATGGAATAAAATTTAAAATAATATTACTATTTTTTATTAAAACTAAATAATGGGTAGTCTTACCACTCAAAACTATTTTTTTTTTCGGACAGTAACAGAACGATCGATAATAATAATAGAAAAAAAAAACTTATGTAAGAATTTAATAATAAACATGGAATAAATCAATTAATTAAGTCGTAATTTAAGTTAAAATTTGGTGCATCTTTTTTTCTTTATTTGTAATGTTTATATTTGCACTCATGAAAGTAATAAAAATATGTGGTGGTGGTGAAAGTAATAAACCGTGGTTTTAAAGGCACTATTTGGCCATAATTACTTTAGTACAGTCCCTTATCCAGCAATTGTAAGTTACGGATAATTTTCAGTGAATAAAGTGAAAGGCGACTGCATGCAGCAGAGATGCGCATGTTGCGATGGATGTGTGGAGTAACGAGAATGGATAGAATACGGATACGGAATGAATATTATTATGTTAGAGGAAGTGGAACCTGTGACAGAGAAGCTGACAAGCGCGCGTTTGGGTTGGTATGGACATGTGATGAGACAAAATAAAAATGAGGTTGGTAAGAAAATGTTAACTATGAATGCGGAAGGATATAGAGGAAGGGGTAGACCTAAGAAGAAATGGATGGATTGCGTGAAAAACGATATGGGTAAGAGGGGAGTGAGCGAAGAAATGGTATATGATAGAAGAGTATAGAAGGAGAAAACATGTTGCGCCGACCCCAGGTAACTGGGAAAAGGGCAGGATAATGATGATGATGATGATGATGATGAAAGTGAAAAAGTTTTTTTTTAATTAAAAGGACTCACTGAAAGCCTCCGTAAACCGATTTTACAGACAACAAGTTCATTTTCTTCAAATCTATATGTAGCAC